TCTAATCAGAATTTGCATTTCTTGCTGTGTACCTCTGAGAGGAGTGTGGCTCCACCCTCCCTATAACCCATCCTGGCTTTGGTTTCTTATTCCTTGCAAACCTTTTGGCCTTTTCCACATTAATTTTGCAAAGAGCAGAAGTTGCTGAGCACGGGCACAACGACCGGTGTTCCCAGCAGTAACAATGGTCTTTCCACAGATGTACCCAGATGGGTATCCTGACAGTCTGCTCCCCAAACTGGGCCCTCTCATTGACTTTTTGACCCCTGAGGACTTTTCTAAGCTGCAGATAACTTCAGCTGACTCCCTGGCTGCCTTGCTGGGAAGTGAGCCCTCGAATGAGCAGGTGGGAATTTGGGTTGGCTTTCCTGGTCTTGGGAGCTGCTGGGTTAGGATTGGCTCAGGGGCTTCAGAGATGATTGGCCCATCCAAAGAGATTTGAAATGATTCAATTTTATTTTTGTAATGGTTGCATTTGTTGTTTGGTTTTTTTTCCTTTGGGGAAAGAAACCAGAAATTCTGCTTCAAGTTAACTTTGTGTTTCCAGGCTTCTGCAATAATCAAACGTTATGTTGACTTGGGAAATGCCTTGAATGCCACTGCCCTGAGGGCAATTGGGACCAGATACCTGTGCCTTCTAAATGCAACTGAGCTGAACAGGATTGACCCCAACAACCTGAGGTGAGTCCAGTACTGTGGTGATGCTCTTGGCTTCTTGCAAAAGCACTTTCTCATCAGCAAGTGTAGTTTCCTTTTCTGTCCACTCAGGGCAAGCAGGTCTAGAAAGAAACTTAGTACCTGCTCTGTGTCCAGTTTTACAAGCCTGCAGCTCTCCATCCTGCCAGGAAGGGCTCAGGTTTGCAATCCAGCTCCCTCTGTGGCACCTCAGCTGGCAGCAGATGTGGTCTGCATGCCTGCTTTGATCTAGAGGCAGGAGAGAGTTCATTGAGTTCAATTTAAATTATATTGAAACACTGCTAAATGAGATTAATTAAATAACCATATCTTTGCAAGTACATAAGTTCCTCATGCACCACCAGAGCCATCAGAACTGAGAAGATGTATCATTTTAAGCAGGAGACTGAGCTGGATTTTTTTTTCCCCTCAGCTTCTCTCTAGACCTCTTCTGTGCACTAGGGGGTAACCTGTCCTGTGTAGAGAATCCCAGATAGACTAGTTCAAAATTTGTTCATGTTGAAGGAAATAACAACTTCTGTCTCCTTGAATCTTCATTTTCCTGCAGACTGGCATCTCTGAATCCTTCAGCCTGTTCACAGCTTACAAAAGACATCTTATATGCCAAAGCAAAACGTGCTTTCTCAGACCAGCTCAACTCACCTGCCTATTACCAGCTCATTCTGCCTTACTTGGGTATGTAAAGGAACAGGCTGCAATGGGGAAAGAGGGCTCAGCCAAAAGCTGCAGAGCTGTCAGACACCAATCTAAGATGTGGGCATTTTCAAAGTGAAGTTGTTATAAGTTTTAGAGAGTTTGGGTCTTTCCCAACTTGTAGGTGGAATAAGTTATTCTTGAAAGTTTCTGTACCTGACTTGATGTTGCCCACATCAACTGTGAGTCCATCACAGGGAAAATCCACCTCATGGCTTCTGGGATGGGCAAGATCTGCTAGATCCATGAGAAGTCAAGTTGCTGATGCTTAACTTTTATCTCACAGCCCTTCTCCATGGTCCAAGACATAGATTTTATTTTTTTCTTTTCCCCTGTCAAGCCAATAATTGTTTCACAGCCTGATTAACTCTTCTTACCCCTCTGTGAGGCATCTGGCTCTGTCACAGGTGGGTTTCTGGCTGACATGGTAACACCTCCCAGCAAAAATGAAGCAGCCTCCATAGATTCTGCAGCTGGAACTCATTCAGTGAGCAGCCCCAGCCTCATACATTTTGGAGACATCATTCTAGCTCCAGCTTATCTAGATACTCAGCATTGCTCACCTGGGGGCTCTCCATGCATGGATTAACTTTGTCTCTTTGCTCCCAGGGGGTGCTCCTGTTGGGGATCTCAGAGCTCTAAGCAAGGACCACGTGAACATGAATGTTGGTACTTTGGTGAAGTTAAGAAGGGACTCTCTGATGGTGAGCAGGATCTTGAAGTCCTTTGACTCCTTGCCTTCCTTTCATGCTGAGTAGTTGGTTTTGGTCACATTGGTGCAAACCAGAAGTTGCTCCATCAAATTCAAAACGGTGCTAGACCAGGGGGAAGTGGAGAATTGTCCTGAAACTCCTTCAAAATGCTAAGCCAGTCTTACTGGGAGGGTTCTTTAGGGTGGCTCTCACAGCAGGAGTGGCAGGAGCAGAGGACAAGTGTCCACTAGACAACAGTGTGACAAATCTTCTAGCAGTGTTAACAATAACACCATCAGTTTGGGAGACAGCCCAGTGACTTGGGCAGGGACTTTGGGCTTGGGTGTGGCAGACTTGTCATCAGAGGGCAACAGAAACAGGCTTGGTGGAACCATTGTGTTCTTTCCTCCAATCTAAGGCAAGAGTTTCCCATCTGAAACCACTCACCAGGAATTTGTCTTCCTGGTTCTTCACACTTCTGCCAATAGAAACCACAGCAGTTCCTTGCTCTGAGGGTATTGTTTCCATTCC